AAAATTATATTTGATTAATAAATAAAATTTACTAATTAGAAAAAATGATTAAAATTTTGTCTTTTATATCTAAAAATAATATAATTTTTTGTTAAAAATAGAAATAAGTATGTAATATTACAATTATTGGTAATATTATAATTACAATACCATATAAGATTATAAACTTACAATTATATATGGTATTAAATGAATATAACATGACATTAAATAAGTAGATATACACAATATTATGGGTAGACTCATGAATAAAAAAATTTAATTATATAATGATATATTATATTGTAAGTTTACAATACGGCATGAGATTATAATTATAATATTTTTGTAAAAATATAAACTTATTATTCAACCTACTGGGTATAGATATATTCATGGTACATTTATATATCTATTGAATATTATAATTTTTTATACAAATAAAACTGCATTATATACCTATTAAATATTATAATCTTTAATATAGATTTAAACATATTACAAAATACATATTTAATTTCATACATAATATATAAATATAATACCTCTTTATATATATACATGAGTAGTGATTTATTTCTACATATAAATTTTACATATTATATGTATATAAAATCTCAACCATTCATTTTTTTACTTTTAGTGGTTGAGATTTATGCACATTTATTAAATATAATTATTTTTTTCATTTAAAAAGCTGTAACAAATTTTGATCATTGAAAATAAAGAAATAAATTGTTAATATTTTATATAAATGTAGTATATAAATGGATTTTTCCTCTATACATATATAATAAGAATTCATTTACATACAGATCTTATAAATTACACTTACACAAAATTTTAGTCATTCATCTCTTCACTTTTAATAGGTAAGATACATTTACATTGATTCAAAATAATCTTTTTTATATCAAAAAATTATGATAACTCTCAACTATTAAAAGTAAAATGATAAATAGTTATGATTTTGTGTAAATATAATGTATAAAATTTGATATAAATAAATCTTTTATATATATATATAAAGTGGGTATTAGCTTATATTACAAAAAAAAAAAAATTAAGTAGAACCTTTTTAATTAGGCAGAATACCCAAATACACCCCTAAACAAAAAACAAGGATAAATCCACTCATAAAATTTTTGATTTGGACAAATTACTCTAAATTTAATGTGTGATATCATCTGACGTCAACAATCCGTTAATTTGTTATGTTGCGTTAATAACATATTGCTGACATCAGATGACATCAAATTAACGGATTATTGACGTTAGGTGACGTTAGGTGACGTCACACATTAAATTTGGAGTGATTTGTCCAAATTAAAAATTTTGTAGGTGGATTTGTCCATATTTTTTGTTCGGGGTGAATCCATCCTTGCTATTATATTTTGGGGGTGAATTTTGGTATTTTACCTTTTAATTAAATGATGCCATTTG